GTTGTCTATTTCAACATGTCCCACTCGTATCACTGCTTATTGTCCTTCTTGTCCCGGCCCGCCTCTATGTGTGGGCGTGTGTTGTAACTGCGGAGAATAGAAAAACATTTCAAGATAAAGTGGTAGTTTAAAACGTAGTGCCCACAATGTTCTCACCATAGGCAGAAGTTGACAAGTTTATGAAAACAAATAAATTATTCATTAGTTGCAAATTATAGTTTGCTCCAAAAATAAAAGAACAAGTACAAAGGATCATGTTCATCTAACAAAAAAGCAGGATAACGCTGCTATTTGGATGTACCTAGACGATAAAAAAAGCATTAACATATTTTAAAATTCACAAAGGAAAATATTAAAACATATGTACATTCTTTTGCTACATTGATCTGTTGGAAAATTATGTATTTTTTGGCAATTGGAGGAGAAACCAGAGACCTAAAATCTCACGGGCCTGCAAATCGGTTACATGACTACATAGTTCGATAGAATCTACAATAATGGATCCATTTTCACTAAAATCAATAATGCAATCATATTGACATTGCCGGGAGAGTAGTTAAAATTATTTGAAGATTTGTGATGAAGATTACAAATCCTATGTGCGACTCATATACCAATATTATGATGTATTAAGTTTGTTCATATAATTTTTTTTGAGAGCTCCTAGTGCAAAACTCCATCATAAACAGTTGGGTAGTATGCCAACGTTATTGTCCAATGGGCGGCTGAACTGGAGCACTGGGCGCCTTGAGATATTGCTTGATGATGTGGTGCTGGCGTTGGATGCACACACTCTTGGGCCACTTCACGAAACGGTGGAGGTTTTGTTTGGAGGAAGAGTGCTGCTGATGCCAAATTGCTTCGGCCTCTTCTGGAACAGCGGGTTCGATACCTTCTATACCACGAACATCGAACCGCACTAAGAACTGAAAGAATGGAATTGAAGCAAGGGTTTCGACGAGCAGAAGCTCGCCGCTTTCTTTGACCTGCACCTTGCCTCCTGGCTTTGTAGACTGCATACCGGCCAACACACACAGGAAGAGTTCCCCGCCTAGCCACACGAACTCACAGCACGCCGGCAGCAAACATGCACGCATCAACCAGCCAGCAGCCCCAGACACGCGTCGGTCAGCCATGTACGCCCTCTGGAAGCTAACTCTCATTTACAGCACACCGACACCATCACGCACACACAACATGCCCCGTCGTGCTGCCAATGCCGATGGCTGCCCCGCCTAGATCGAAGCAGCCAACACACGATGTAGCTTGCTCTGTCCCCACACACCGGATAGCAGACTCCAGAAATATGTCTTACGGTCAGCATCCTTTTATTCCTCTTCATTCTGGCGCTCTCCTTGACCTTCTCAACCTCAGACGGTGTTGCATCTTCAGGCTTCTTCTCATGCTCTATCACCTAGGAGCAAGAGCAATACCAACACATCACATGCAACACAATGAGCAACAGAAATCAAAGCTCACATCTAAAGACACATGCAACGATGGGTGGGCAGCGTGAGGCAGTGGATGAAGAACAAGCACATCGGCTGTTGGCTACAGGCTCGACTTGTGTCGGCTCGATGAGTTCTTGCCGCCAAGATGCACACGTACGCAGCAGCCACTAACTTTAGTTGCCAGTCAATTGCATTCCGCCCGGAGAACGCAGGCACGTACAAGCTAGCTAGGCCAAGCAGGCAACCTGGCTGCTGGATGCATTTTCACGTACGCTAGCACATGCATGTACGTTGACATTACAATCAGCCGTCGTCTTGATTGCTTCGATCTCTCGCCGAAACACATCAGCTTGAGACCCGTTTGGACGGCGCATCATGGAGATGCATCTAGGCCAGCAAAGGCGCCGCTGGAGAAGGACCGCTGCCGGCTTGAACGGCGTGTCCGGCAGCGGTAGTTGCGGCCATGGTGGAGTGATCTCCAATGATGAGCCCTAGCTAGGTGGCCTTTCATCCCGTGAACCCGTCTGCTTGTGCTCAGAACATACATATACATATATTTACCCAAAAATGAAACCAGAGTGGAATCCGTGTGGGGCTACAAAGATGGAAGGGCTGGCCAGGCCAGACAAACAAGAGGCGGATAGGCTAGAAGAGAAAAAAAAAGTCCTCTTTAAATCTCAGCCATCAATTTCTTTTGTTAACGTAAAATCAACGGATCTAAAAGGATGACGTATGGAGAACCATGAAAGCCTCCGTCCTTTATTATTAGATAAAAATAAAGATATAAGGTCAGACGAGCTGGCCTTTCTTAGGGCATGACAAAGCTACCGCTCTTAAAGATCCAAAGCCTCTTGAAAACATCTGATATTTAGCAGGATGAAAAGCAAAATTGTTGCAGCCAGCTACCTTTTGTCATCTGCGTACCACGACATGGTGGATGATCCAATTAAATGCAACAAAAGTTGTAGATGCATACCATCTAAACAACCATATTTCTGAATCACTTGATCGCAGGTAAAGCCCAGATCCTATACTAGTCTTGCCCACCTAGTGCTTAAACATTCTTCTAAAAAAACAAAACAAAAACTAGTGCTTAAACATCAGTATATATCGATCTCAGCCATACACAGAAATGACCTGCTTGTATGGCGCTTACATAAGAATGCTGACAGTGTCCTTCCTTCAAGAAGCTCAATGTACCTTAAGAGTATGAACAGACAGACGTTGTCTCCAAAGTGTCGATTATATACACATCATCTGCTCTTTGAGAGTTGCGGCACACACCCATTCGATGACTTATTTTTACGGAGCCGGACATGAAGGGCACGGAGAATGACATGGTGCTGCTTATACTAGTCAAGAAGTAGAGGAGTCTATTAGCAGACAAAACGAACAATTAAGGAGATACAATACATACACCGAAACCAATCATAATCTCCTCGAGAGCAAATTTGGTAGCAGCTTCTTCTTCTTCTCTTCCGCGCTAAACCCGATCATCGCCCTCAACCGACAGACCCTCCCTCTGAAGCTTTTCCGGAAATGTCTCCATCCCGGCGTGTGCCAAGAGGACCCAGACATAGGAGAGGTACTCCACACCTGTTCCCAGAGTCTCTGCATGCAAGTATCCTCGGCACCGGCCGGCAGAAAAACAGAGCACCTCCACCCACACGCCCTGGATCACCTTCCACATTCGGGTCGCGTCGCCATGGTAAGCATCAACCAACAAACTTTCAGCAAGCCTCAAAGCATCACCAGTGATGCCTCTGTGGCATCTCTCAAATACTAACAGTGTAATCTGGTCCTCGTTCAGCCGTGCCTCCTCCTCATACCGGAGCATGTCTTCGAGTTCTTGATAGGCCCTTGTGAACAAACTCTTTCTGCTGCCTGGCATTAGCATCTCAGGATTATCAAACAAGAGATGCATCATGTAGTTGGACATTTCTCTGCACCGACGGGCACATTCACGATCATCAGGAGACGTGACCTCACCATGAAACATTAAATCTATGGCCTGGAAGCACAGATCTGTGGCCAGGTGCCAGAGAATAATGCTCTCGTCAAATGGCCTCCGTATGCTCCAACCCAGTTCTCCGAGACATCGCTTACTCGTGAGCGTCCATTCGCCTCTGGTATCATTATGCCTCCTGTAAGTCTCATTGTCCAAGATGCAGTGTTTCCACAATGACTCAACATGCTGACGGACCAGTTCTGTAATCTCCTCGCACGAATAGATAGGCTTCATGTGCCAACAATCGTCGAGGAAGTCCTTGCATTGCAACCATCCCGCAATCGTCCTCAACCTCGAGTGCCTTCTGTTATGGGCTAATAATCCAATAAGACTATGTTGGAGAACTCTGCCAGAGAACCTGTCCCGGAAAGCTGTTTGTACGCCCAAGTAAACCAGCTCCAGCACAAAAGTGCCCCACAACAGTACTAGTGTAACCCAGGTATCCTCACTGTTATAATCTTTTTTCTGGCTACTAGTCTGTACCAGGCAGATGGCTACGATTAACGTTGCATAAGCTAGTATTTGTGTGCACCGACGGAAGACGGCCGTTGCTGATGCTTCCTTGGAACCAAGGTAGGGTTTGACAGTATCATCTTTGGTGTAGAGAAAACTGGTCATAGCAGACAGTGCGCGTTCTATTGCTTGATAAGCTGATTTTGGGTCAAGCAACCAGAAATTCAGGATTCCAACACGATCAGAATAGAGACATGGAAAGTCCAAAAATAGCTGGTATGGTAGCCTTGGGAGGTCTGCCGGTGATCCCCGCGGTCCATCACGGTGCACGACTTTTCTTGCTTTTTTTATAAATTTGTCAAGCCTTCTTTTTTCTGTGACATAGGTGCCCCGAATGATGCTAATCCCGGACGAGCTGGCCTTCCGTAGGGCATTAAAGCTACTGCTCTTAAGGTCCAGCGCCTTCTGGAAGCATCTGATAATCACCATGAAGAAAAGCAAAATTGTTGCAGCCAACAAACTTTTGTCATTTGACGACCATGACTTGTAAAACACATAGAGTGCAACAACGACCTGACAAGGTGGATAACCCAATTAATAAGATGTACATATTTTCAAGATGCTACCTAATTGCACCACTCTCCTAAAGTACCAATTAATACTAGTGTTGTAAGCATGAAATTACTCCCTCCATTGGGGTTTTGTCCATCCACTAACAAAAAAATCACGAAATTCTTGAATTTAAGTAAAGTAACTACTGATCAATCACTTAGCCTTCACATGAGCTCCTTCATTCTTGAAATAGGCTTTCGCCCAGCTTTACAAATAAAGCCACCATCACGTCCATACAACAAAATGAGTGGAACCAGGGGAGGGTTGGGGGGGAGGGGGGGGGGTTGTAATTTGCATTCCGTAAAGAACAAATAATATTTGAAGTGAATAAAGTAACTCAAATTATTATTTTTGAAGTTCAACTCCCTCCGTCCTTGTAAGAATTTATGGTTATAAACTTTTAATAGAGTACAAGTTTGAGTTTTAGTACTAATGTATTTACCAGTATTTAGGTTTGATACTTGGAAATCATGCATGTCAGTTTATATCGAAAAATAACTCCACATCGTATAATTATTTGGATTTTTGTAATGCCTTTTAACAGGAAAAAAAATGGTCAAGTTTGTATTTTAGAGATCGTGCGGTGTCGAAAACGACAACTCTTAAGAGGACAAGAGGAGAGAGTCGGGATATATACACATGTACACCCTCCGTTCCTAAATATAAGTCTTTTTAGAGATTTCAACAAGCGACTACATACGAAGCAAAATAAATGAATCTATATTTTAAAATATGTCTACATACATCTGTATGTTGTAGTCCATTTGAAATGTCTAAAAGGACTTATATTTAGGAACGGAGGGAGTATGATGTATGTAGAGAACACTAGTAAACCTGGATAATTAACAGGGTATACGAAGAAAAACATGTTTGTGATGCGGACACCGGCTGAACTCTTCGGACATGACTAATTAAATGAAAAGTGGGCTAGAATTTTTTTCCTACTGACCTTGGATAGAGAGGTTAGGATGTGGCGGCTCCACTGCTCATTGTCTTCAATCTTATAGGTGGTTATGACGACCTGCCCACCGAGGTGCATCAGCACGATCGGCGCCCATAACAGCTCCAAACTGTGGCTGCCACGCGCATAGCTGCAGCTCGGCCCATTCTTTTGGCGGCTGAAGAGCGTGGCGAGGGTGAAGATGGCCAGAGCGTCGCTGCCGATGTGCGCCAGCCGGAATGAAACTCGGAGCCATGGCGGGATATGGAACTTACGGACGCCGGCAAATAATACGAGGAAGTATTGGGCGCTGAGGCTGGCTAGGACGAGGATACGCAGCTCCCGCCCCTCCCACCACCATTGCGCCATCTCGATCTCTGTCTCTCTCTCTGCCCACCCACCTGCAGATCGCCTATAAAGAAGCAACCATCAGGAAATCATCATTCATTAAATAATACTCAACAAGCATCCGTACACATTCGCAAAGAGAACAAGCATACGTCCACACTTTAGCATGATGGACTCGATTAAAGCAGCACGCCAAGAATAATACGCCATGATAAGTAGGGAGTTTTTTATTGTTAATCGCCATTAGTATCCGGTCATTAGACTTCAAAGTCGTAACTCTCTTGTGCCTGTGAGAACCCAATCCCACCAGCTCATTACCAATGTTACTAGTCTGATGGATACCATAGAGCCAACAGCCTTTTTTTCTACCGTTTTGCTAAAGCACATCTAGATGTGTCCTAAGTATTACACATCTATGTCCTATGTTATTGATTTTACGCGAAGATTCGTGTGGGCATTTTATTTTATCTTTTTCTTTTTTGCTTCTATTTTGATTAAGTCACTTAGATGTGCAATAAGTAGGCCACATCTAGATATGCCCTAGAAATGCCCTTTTTTCTATGTCTGCAGAAGTATACGTGCTACTATGATACTATTTATTAACCGTTAAAGACAGATACGATAAAAGACATAGCCAGGTTATAACCATGCCCCGGGCCAACCTCGTTGCTACAGTAATGAACACCTGCAAATAGCATTATTGTTTCTAGCTACATTAAACGAAGCATCAAGCTGCCACAGCCCAGGCCATGGCCCTTGTAGCTTGAGGCCTAGCTACGCCCCTAGATCCAAGGTTCCCCTCACCTTACCCCACCATGGAGCTGGAGGAGACGACAAGGCCGGTCAAAAAGATGGAGATTGTGTAGATTAAATCTCAGAGAGGAGGAGGAGAGGAGCTCAGGTTCATTCAACCAGCCTTACCTTAGGAGAACTGCCTACAGAGTGCAGCCATTCCTCGCACATTGCCCAGACCGCCTAGCTGATGATCTTCACCTTGGTGGCGGCAGCACTGCCAGCCAGCCTGATCTACAAAGACTTAAATTTAGGAACGGAGGGAGTACATAGTTGTGTTCCTCTCACTCACACTCACATATACTAGGTGCTGATGCTTGTCATCTCATCTCCTTATTACATGCACTGCATACTACTGTACATAGGTAGAGGCAACATGCACTGTAGCACCGGCTGAGGACGCTGTTGGTCTTCTTGTCTTTGCCGGCAGAGTCGTCGGTGTACTACGTACGCCGTGTCGGATGTCGTGCCATGTCCTAGCTCCTGGGTGCACGTAGTGGCCTTTCCTTCCTACCTTGTTCCTGGCGGCCATACATCTCCTGGATGAAACTTAATGACTGAAAACTGAATGACACCTCAGTCGGTCAGTTTCAGGTTCTCAAACTGAATGTGCAGTGAAGCTCTGGGCGTGAGAGTAGGTGTGTCGCTCAGTCTGGGCGTGAGAATGAAAAATCATCCATGGCCTTGGTTGGTTGGTACACTGTGGCAAAGCAGCGGACAGAGTTTTGTTGAATGATTTGAAGATCAAATTTTGGGCGCATAGAAAGAATAGATGAATGGCCAAGTAAGTTAACTCCCACCCTCTTCCTGTATATGCATGTATTCTTTCTTCCTTGTACAAATAAATGGAGTCAAAATCTACTGATGACTGAAAACTGGCAGGTCAATTTCAGGTTCTGAAACTGAAACTGAATGTTTTTCTTTCCGCTGCTGATTTGTTCAGTTTGGTAATCAAGGTGGTTTTGATGTAAGAAGGGCTTATCTTTTGCAGCTAGCTTTGTTTCATTTTGGTCATTAGGGTGGTGTCGACGTAAGAAAAGGCTTCTCTTTTGCAGCTAGCTTTGTTTGTAAGTGTGTGTCTAGATGAACAATTTCATCCGTAATAATAAGACAGGAGCAATCGGCTGTCGTTATGCTGAAATAAGAATCTACTCCGGTATTTCGTAATCGTGTATTTATTTCTGCTCACCTGTATGAATATATTTGTTTGTTGTGGCCTGTTTATACTCAGCCGTACTGAAGTACTACCTCCATTCCAAAATATAAGACGTTTTGCTATACGTTGTGTTGCTCTCACTCACATCACATACACTACATGTTGATGTTTTGTGAGGCTCTTTGAGCTGGAACAGGCATTCTCCTATAACATAACAAAGGCCCCAGCCTGATTGTCGATCAAACAAAGGATCAATTCAAGGTGCCTGGGATTCTTGCTGATCGAAGAAACAGAGCATCACGGACCACGTTTTTCGTTGTGATGCGGCAAGGCTATCTGGGGCATGTTCTGAATTTGCTTGGAATTCATTTTGGTTCTGCTGCTGAACTGGTTGACATGATGCATTAGTAGGTGCGGCGATGAGTTTGGACAACGTGAGAAGCAAAAAATCATGGTGTATTGACTCGCCAATAATCGAAGCTAGTTTGTGATGAATCAAAGGTTGGCATAATGAATTGACTCCCTGTTTGGACAGCAAAAAAAGCCCAAAGCCACAGACTGATCAAATCTGAAAGCAGTGGACAGATATTATCAAAGCTAGCTTTCAGTTCATTTGCAGTATGCTATGCACATGGATGGACAGACAGTATGTGCATGTGTGATGGCACTACCAGAAGCATTTTCATTTAGTTTTCTTGGTGAGCTCCTCATCTTTAGCTATTAATTAAATCATTTTATCTCCATCTGTAGCTGGAAATGCCTTATTGCCTGAAATGAATGCTGTCATTGCCATACAGTAGTTAAGTTTTGTTCCCTTCGATTGTTACGCAAGCTTTATTTCAGATTGTATAGATAAAGAAGTAGCGTTCTGGACAACATCATGATTCCGCAGCCTCCGTCGCAGCTGGGCCCCGCAAGTCAGTTAGACCTCACGCTCCATCCCAGTGGTTTGCAGCTAAGGAATTGGTCGGATACCAATGAGTGGGGTATGCTTATAAGTGAGCAGCATCGAAATGTAACTATAAATCACTCCTTTGAGGAGGGTATCGAATCGGTGAGCAAGGAAAGGAAGCTAATTCCTGAGAAAGAGAAACCTGTGTGCATCTGAGTAGCTAGTGGGATCGTAACAGAAAGAGATGTGGACCGACCATCCACTTGCACACGATGAACCCCCCATTCATCATTCTGGCTGTCGGAATCTCACCCTTGTTTTTGCAAATACCGTATCACTTCACCATGAGATTAGTGTTGTCCTGATATATCGGATTTTCAGTCCCATCAATTTATCTTCTGATGCCGTATCACTATTGCACTTCTTACTTCACTAATTCGTTATGTTCTGATGCAGGAATTCTTCGGTCTGAGCTTGGTGTAGGATATTCAAGAGCTGGTAGGAGTAGGAACCACATACCTTTCTCTGTTCGGAAGAAGCACAGCAAAGATGACATGACCTACAAAATATTCTCACGTTCGAAGCTAGATGACGCTTTGCTGGATCAGATCTTCAGGTAAGTGGTTGGATACAACTAAAAACTGAAGAGTTGCTGTTGTTGTCTGTGCAGGCAGGCAATGCACAGTGATGTACAACAGCGAAAGGGACGAGCTAGCATCAGGGTAGACTGGCCGTGGCCGCCCCACCCCACTACCAGGCCCTCGGAATTGTACTACGTAACTAAAATAGTGATCAGGGGCCCTGAAGTTTGTACTGTAGTAAGTTTTCTTTGAGTGTTGAAATTTTCCGTCAGGGATCCCTTGCAGGATGTGGGGTGTAGAAAAGACGCAAGGAAATATTGTGTAGAGAAGATTCGGGAAATATATATTGTGCACGTGCACATGCACTGTTTAATCAATAATACGATGAAGTGAAATACAGAAACGGAAGTGCATGATTCAGACACTGTATATGCACTGACGACACTATATATGTACTCCTTACAATATTGCAGACTGGCACTGGTAGGTTTTCAGACTCACAAGAGAAAATCCACCCAGGAATAGATTATGAATCACGAGTAAATACTCTTGTCTTGACTCCAATTGGAATAAAATAGCTGCAGCGGCATGCAGGTCTCAAGTTAAGGGCCATAAGCAAGTACTCTGACTCCGATTCCAAGCCCGCGTCATTCACTAGAAAGGGAAGCACATGTGTTAGAGAACATAGGTGGTGGTCACTAATAACAATTCATAAAGAAACGCTCTACAAGGGGGATTGCATTCTTCACCTAAAATATTTCCTGCAGATATGTTGAATCTTTTTCCAGTTTGGATGTCCAACTGTTTGACAAGACTCCATAAACCCATCGTCGCACTTCAGGAGCCAAAAATACGTAAGAGACTGTGGCAGCGTTGGAAGCGACCGGATATTCAAACATTTAATAATGATTACTGTTTCCAGAGAGCTGAGGTGCTCCATATTGCATGGCAAGGCGTTCCAGCTGCAGTGCATCAGATTGAGGCAACGAAGATGATTGAAAGCCTTCAGTGCAGGAGCAGGCCCTGGCTGGCTCCATCCAGAGAGACCAAGTTGTTGCAGCTTCTCTGGTCCGCCATTTTGCCTACCCACCATCCACTTTGGGTATACCAAACCATCGTAGTCACGGATGTCGAGTGTTACAAGCCCCACGGGAGGACAAAGGCCCTCAAGTACCTCTGCCGCAACTTTTGAACTTCCACCGAGTGATAGTGTTAGTTCTGTGAGCCGTTTCTTGGCAGCTAGATCGAATGCAAGAGCTTCCTCTCTGCTTTCAACACTTTGGAGACCATATATACTCAGTTCGCCGCTGAGCCTGTTTAGGTACCTCAACTGCTTTGCCTCATGTCCTTGTTCATGACTTACTTTGAATGCTGGGATTGTTTGGAGTGAGACAAGCCTACCGATGTTTGAAAATTGCAATCCAGGACCGCTGAATACATGCCGCAAGTTGATAAGATCACCACAGGAAAATACCAAATTCATGCAGACACCAAAATCTAGCAGCTGCATCTGGTAAAGCTGGTTTAGACTGCTTGGTAAAATTACTCTGCATCCAATATCTGTCCGGAAAGCAAGATATCGTAGATGTTTTAATTGGCTAATAGATTCTGGAGCAGACAATATATTTGGTCTACAAATAAATCCATCCTTTTCCAGACATAAAGCTATTGCTAGTACCCGCAGTTTCGGCAGACTCTTGAGTATGTTCTTGATGACTATTTCCTCAACTGGTGTATCCCCTCCAACACTATAAATGATGAGTGTGTGTAAATTTTCCAATAAAAGAATCTTCCCTGTAATCAATGCTGCATCATAACTCTGAACAAAAAGATGACGAACGTCTCTGGGAACATCTCTTGCCCACCTTTCTCCTTTCTGGATCATGTTATTGTCAATTCTGAAGCAGTCACTTCCAGCTACTGCCCCTGCTAAATCATGCAGTAAATCATGAACTAAATAGTATTCCTTGCCATGATTGTACCAGTCCTTGCCTCCTGGTTGAAGAAATGATATCGACAATAGTTCATTAAATATTCCCCGACCAACATCTTCAGCATCAGCCCCTTCATCTGTGTTTCTTATGAACCCTTCTGCCATCCAGAGTCTAACTAATTCATCACGGTACAAGCGATGTCTCCTAGGAAAAATACTGCAGTAAGCAAAGCAACGCCTAGCCTGCTCACCTAGCTGATAGTAGCTCCACCACAGAGGTCCCGTCCATACCTTGAAAAGGTCTTGATCTCCGACTCTTCTCCAATGGTCAACATCTTGCTGTCGACGTAAATTTCCACCCACTGTTCTAGCTGCTAGAGGTGACCCCTTCAGCTTTTTTGCAATCTCAACCCCAATGTTCTGGAACATGCTTTGATCTTGGCCATCTTCGAGGGCATAATGCATGAACAGCTCAAAGAAGGCGGTATCATCAACCTCAGTTATCGGCATGGCAGTATATCTCACACCAGGACATAGATCCGGTAGTGCATATTTACTTCGAGTTGTCACTAGGATCTTGCTTTCTTTCTTTCCTTTCTTAAGTGGAGAAAGTAACTTTGGTAGCTCCTGGTTACCAACATCCGCATTGCACCAGACATCATCCAGTACCAGAAGGAATCGCTTTCCATCTAGCTTCCTCTCCAGTTCTTCTTCCAAGGCATTCAAGTTATGAAATTGAGGGCATGGAACCTTAGGATCTGAAGCTGCCTCATACAACTCCTTGAAGATGCCCCACACACTAAAATCCTGAGAGACATGAACCCACATAACAAGGTCGAAATGGTCTTCCTTGTTGTCTTGCTTGTCATTTTTCTCGTGGGCATAAACAAACTGTGCAAGGGTAGATTTCCCAGACCCGCTGACTCCATGTATGCCAATTACAGAAAAACATAGACCTTTGCTAGTGCTTGGATCAAGACCACCTTCCTTTTCATGAAGCATTGCTATGATCTTGTCACGATCATTATCTCGACCAAAAACTTTTTGCGGGGAAACTGCGGTAGTCGTAGGATTGACAACCATTTTGTGTCTTATATTGCCATCACTTATGCTTGACAAGTTAAGCTTCTCCAAAATCTGGTGTGCTTCATTTATAATGTTTTCTATCTTCTTTAGGCTCTTTACCAACTTCTTATTTGACATACGACTCTCCTGTGACACCAAATAGCAAGTGAAAAGTCTTTCAAAAAAATTGTACGTGACCATACAGATGAGAGCAATTTTTACATCGAACTATCCCCACGCTAAATGAAGAAATAAGTCAAGTGTTGTATAGGAAATCATCTAACCTCCAAGTTTTTCTAGATACACCAAGAAATCACTTGCCCTAAACCTAGTTCTCTACTGCTTGAGCTAGGAATCAGCTAGGAATCACCGAGGTATACTAATACCATCAGGCACACACACACACACACACACACGTGTGCACGCCCTCTATGGACTATATGAACATACTCATGAGCTAGAAATTTGCTGATTTCGGAGAGAGAATTTTGTGCCAAAAGGGTAATCTATCTAAGGGAATACATGTGAGCCAGAATCGAGGCCTACAGTATCAGCGCCAATATACAAGAGAAATAAATATTCTCTACTACTTGTATTGCAATTTTGTGCTACAAGATTAGCGTTTGAATTTCTCTAATTTTCCCTTGCGAAAGTTTCGATGTAGGTTTAGGCTACATCCAGTTTGGCATATCTATGTATCTTTGGTCGCAAAATACAGGATATGACCAAAGAAACATTGATATGCCAAAATTTCTAGTACCTTCAAACATATATATGGAACAACAAAAGCTGGACTGACAGAACACAAAACAAATGGAAGAAAGGAAAGTACCTTCTTCTTCAGACGATCCTTTTTAGGTAGAGACGAGCCACCGCCCGGCTGTAGTTTTCCAGTTTTGATCTGCTTCTCTAGACAGTGACACTCGACAGCATCCAAGATTTCTTCGGCTTCATAGAAAGCATATTTAAGCCGCTTGAACAGGTGCTCTAGACGAGGCCTGTATGGGCTCGTCTCGACAACTTCCATGACCCGTTCCAGCACCAAGATTTTTGGCTCAAGTTGTGCCAGCTTCTTTGCTGTGTCATATTCGAGGTAATCGAAGCCTTTGGCGAGGAGCTTGGAGATGGTGGCCGAGGCGACCCAACCAACCATGGCCACGCTCCATCCTACGGCAGCAATGGTAATTGGATCCATCACTACTGACAGATACAATTAGTTTTGAGAGAGTGGGGAGAAGGCTAGGCTGTAGATTCTAGATATAAATAGCTCAAGTTGCAATGAGCTAGTAAGAGGCAGCACTAGAAAGCAGCTAAAATAAGTATATGGCAAGTGTGCTATTACTTTGGTGAGTTAGAGTAAAGAAAGGGAAGGAGCTCAATTATTGACGCAAGGATAGGACTGTTTCAACTAAACACTGCCGTGTAACAACTCTGTTGGTTTTGACAATAAAGTTCAGGCAGGCTTAAGCCCACCGTTAACGCGTCAAAAAACTAAACACTGCCGTCTAGCTCGTAATTTAAGATTGTCCAATCATCTCCCAGTGGTACGAAGAGTTGATCCACAAGCAACAATCAACCGGTGTTTTGTTTCGTTGACAGGGACATCTGAACTGACAACTTGTGGTTTAACAAGCTTAATAACCTTGTAATCAATCAACATGCATAATATATACAGTACTTGGGTGTGCATCTACACGACTGACTCTGGGAAATCGACGCGCTTGTTAGTTGGTATAACGCGGCACGGCCTTATATATTATCATTGACGGCAAGGGAAACTGTTGACCACGCGGCCGCAAGACCCGTGAAATCTGCAACAATCAGCATAAACAACCCTATCCCAGCTGCCAATGACGAAAACAATGCTGAATTACTATCCCGGGAGCTCCTATAGGGAATTTCCTATTCGCCGTATTGCGGCAAGCTGTCGCGCCTTCGCACAGGGCGCAGCTCACCCTGGGCCGGCCCATTTGCAGTCGTTTCCCTTCTCGCGAGAAGCAAGGCTAGGGATCGAACCCAGTACCTTCTGTACATGTATAGGCCATGCTAACCAACCCGACTGACTGGTTCAGGATGACGAACAAACAACGCAAAACATAGAAAAACACATAGCAGCGACAAAACTTAAAACCAGTTCACGGAATTTCCAAAAAACTTTTGTTCCTTCTACTGGTTTTTTGGGGTTTTCTACAGTCTTTTTCCGTTCTTTCATTTTCTTTATTTCTTATATTTCCTGTTTAATTTAAAATATTGTTCAGAATTTTGAAAAAAACTCTTGTTGTCAAAATTTGTTCATATTTTTGAAATAATGTTCACATTGCCAAAATTTTGTTCGCAATTTCAAAAAATGTTCCTGTTTTCATACTTTTGGTTACAATTCAAAAAGATGTTCCAAATTTTGTTCACATTTTTAAAAATTTGATCGGAATTTACAAAAATGTTTGGAATTTCGAAATTTGTTCATCGTTTCAAAAAATGTTTTTGGAGTTTTGTTCATGTTCTAAAAAATGTTCGAATTTTTTTTTTCACATTTTTGAAAACTGTCCGCACTGTTAAAAAATGTTCACAATTTCCAAAGATAACCATGTAGAAAAGGCTGGGAGTTTCAAAAAAAAAATCCCATTTTTCAAAAAAAGTTCTCGGTTTTAAATTTTGTTTGTGTTCTGAAAAAATTTACGATTTTAGATTTTTTTCATTTTTCTAAAAAATGTTCTCAATTTAGAAATTTGTTCATTTTTTCAGAAAGTTTTTAGGTTCAAATTACGTGTTTTTTCAAATATTGTTCAGAATTTCAGTTTTCTGTTCTCCTTTGTCGAAATTTTCTGTTACAAATTTGTTCGTAATTTTGAAAAATGTTCTCGTTTGCAAATTTTGGATTTTATAGCAAACATTAAGTTTTATCGATGTCGTTGTTGTTTCTTGTAACGTTCCGCTGCTAATTTAGCACTGGATCTAGTTGGCCGCAGTGGCTAGCATAGCATGCGCTGGACCGCAAGGTCGACGGTTCAAATCCCAGCGCCAGTCCATTTCTTTTTTCCCATTTTAGCGTCTTGCTAATGGGCCGGACCAGGTTTGGCCACGCTTTTGCGAAACGTCGACATTTTGACGCAGCTAGCGTCACATAGGAGCTCCCGTCCTATAGGAAACTCTTTGCATAAAATTGTCCCGACGCACAGGGAGGCAGCCTGACTGGGCCGGCCCATACAGTTGTACGCTGGAAGGAAAAGAAAACAAAAAAGAGCGGCTTGCGCGATGGAAGGAATCCAACCAGCACCATCAGCTTGCACATGCGTACTCCCAACCACTCCAGCTGTCTACCGTTGCTTGTACCAGACCAACGCGCAACTAAAAATAACCGAGCACAACCGTCCAACCGGACTTGTCTACTGTATCAAACCGGAATTAGTTACTCTACTGAACATCTTTAAAAAAGGTGCACATTTTTTCTGAAAGTGTATATTTTGAAAAAGTGCAAAGATTTTTTGCATATCTGAAAAACATCGTAGACACGAACTTTTTTCGCATATGCAAAAAGAATTGAAACTGCAGAAAATGTTTTCGAAAAACGTGAACTACTTTTTGAAGTTTGTGATAAATTATGAAATTTCAAGCAAATTACGAAACCATGAACTTTTTTTGAATTTTTGAACAAATATTTGAAAAATGCAACATTTGATGAAATTACAAAAATATGAAACCACGAACATTTTTTGAATTTGAGAACGAATATTTGAAAGTGTAACTTCATGAAATATCTAACAAAAAAATTTGAAACCACAAACATGTTTTGAAATTCCTGAACACTTTTTCAAACGCGAACATTTTTTGAATTTTGGGCCAAATTTTGCAACTGCAGACATTTTTTACAATTCTAAAAGTATTTTCGAAATATGAATATTTTCTAAATTTGTGAACAAATTTTCAAATACATGAACATTGTTTGAATTTATGAAAATATTTTATAAAGTGGAACATATTTTAAAATCTGAACAAAATTGAATTTAAAAAAAGACAAATATGAACATGAAAAAGCAAAAAAGGCAAAATAAAAATGGAAATGGAAATGAAAAAGAAAAAAGAAACATCAAAAGGAAAAGAAAGAAACAAGAGAAAGAAAAATAAACAGGACAGAAAAACCAAAAACTAAAAAGAAACAGGAAAACTATGACATATTTTCAACTGAAAAGCTAAAACTATGTGCATGTATGATTGCACGGAGCTCCACTCTCACAACATGGATACACTATTGTACGGCAGGCAGCCACGGATCCCTTTGTGTTCCCCATGTCCGCCGCTAAACGGACTGTCGGGAGTCCCGAAGGCATATTTCTCCTCCCGTATGGTCGCGCCGCTCATCAGAGTAGCAAAGAGGGTGCTTCAGCGGGAGGGGAAGGGTGCTTCCGTCGAGCTCAGATGGGTGCCTAGGATGGTTTGAGATAAAGAAGAACCGGACAGGTCATAGGCGGTGGCCTTCTTGGGACCCAAGTGGCGGTGGCCTCCCGTGTTTCACTTCTCCTCGATGATGGCGGTGGGCGCGGACGTGTTGTCTGCCACCTCGTCGACATCCGCGCACCGGCTTCTTTCTCTGCTTGTATGGCGCGGCTGCGCGCGCGTTGACGGCGCATGGGACAGTCGCAGTCACTAGAGGCGCGGTACAACGCGGCATCGTTGACAGCAGCGGCGATGCCCGTGCAGCCATGCTCCGCGCCGTGTCAGCCTAGAGTAACTCGCCACTCCTGCGAGCTGGCTTGGAACGGGGAGTTGCTAAACCATGCGCCGGCTTGGGACGACAAGTTGTTTCGTCAGCTAGGCGAGGGAACTGGAGCAGCGAGCTGCCTCACTCGTATCCGCTGGGCTCGGCGGGCCACCCGGTCGGCTTCTATGTTGGAGAACTGCACTTCTTGCTCGTCGGATGCCAGCGAAAGAGTGAAGAAAGTAGTGGAAGGAGGAGATTGGGAGTGACGGAGTGGTGCGATTCTTGCCCTGCGTCTGGCCTTGTTTAAATAGAGGGCGGATGGGAGAAGCTTGCCCGGCGTTGCGTCTAATGCCGGCCCGCTCATGAATGGATGTGTCACCAGAGTAGGTTTCTCGGCTTCCACGCGGGTTTAATGTCGGCGTTTGAATGCGGCGAGGAGGCATATTCAGCTGGGCATGCAGAGGGAGGCGCCCTCGGCTGGCGCACCGCTTCAATGGCGGAGGCAGTGAGAGGTCGCGTCCGCCCTGAGCCGCCTTGAATAGAAACGGCACGCTCTACAACGGACTGAATACAGACGCAGCTGGCGACGTAGGGGAGGGTTTTTGATAGACTAGGGCGGTCAGAAGCAGGCATGACGGCGGTCTGCACTCTCGCAAACCTCATCCACGTCTATCTTCGGTTTGCGAGACAAAACACGTTCGGACCGTGTCACGGACCGATGAAGATCCGCATTGGATGGCGTCCGCGATTCGGACATCACGGTCCGAACAATTACAGGAGATTTGCGGGTCGGTGTTGAAGATGCTCGCATGCCACATCCCTGTTGACGACGCATGGGTACTTTCACTTGGACCAGACTCGGGCCAGGGCAGGGTTTGACACTTTGTCGCTGGTCACGACGTCTCGGGATAATAATCCAAAAAGGCGCGTATTGCACGGCGGTCTGTCCCAAGCTTGACGCTTGGCTCCCGAGATGCGTAGAAATATTTTTGAATGGGCCTGGGGCTTAGCCCAACGCATAGCCAGGGCCCAGGCCTCCTCTCCATCCTCACATTCTTGCATCTGGAAGAAGGTGCAAGCGTGGATGGAGAAATGCCTTTCAGCTGGCGGGAAAGAGGTTCTGATAAAATCTGTCGGTCAATCTATTCCCACGTATTCTATGTCATGCTTCAAACTGCCACGGGGCCTTTGCGAGCATATCAATGGTATTATCCGGAAGTTCTAGTGGGGAAGCAAGGGTGGTGAACGGAAAACTGCATGGGTTTCGTGGAAAACTATGTCCAAACCTAAGTTCATGGGGGGGGCTGGGTTTTAGGGATGTGGAGCTGTTTAATCTAGCTCTACTTGCTCGCCAAGCTTGGAGGTTATTGCAGGATCCGGAGTCGCTAAGTGCTCGTGTGCTGAGAGCCAGATATTACCCAGACTGTCACCTGCTGGATGCCACCTTGGGTACGGGCCCGTCTCAGGTTTGGCGATCCATCCTTGAAGGAAGAGACGTG